GTTGAAACGGTTCCCATGCCCCTTCCCTCCTCCCTCCCCCCTCCCTTAACGGACGTGAAGGAGGCAAGTAAATATACGTCTGATTTTTTTTTTTTTTTTTTTTTTTTACAAATGAAATAAAATCCTTACGTCATAACGAAGGATACATACAAGAAATAGCCTGTAACACCTTGTAGAGTAGAACAAAATAAATAAACAGAAAAAGTCATGGTGAGTTAGATACGATTCTTAAGCTAGGGGGCCTTCGGTATTTTCCAAAGGCAGTAATTTCTCGAATTATCTTATAATGCCACTAATTCATACTCATTAAAAAAAAAAAAAGACTAACAAGACATACTTATAATCTTCCTTAAAATCTGTGAGGGAAGTTTATTTACAGATGCAAGGGGGGGGGGGGAGGGCTGGAGGGAAGGATTGGGGGAGGGGGTTGGGGGAGGGAGGGGGGGGGAGAGTAAAGGATGAGACTGGGGCAAAGGGGGCGTGGAGGGAAGGGGAAATTCCTACAGGGGGCGTGGTTGTTAAAAGGCGGTTCTCAGTTCAATCCTGACTCAGGGAGTAATCGTTTGGTGATCGATTACTGGAAATTATAGTCGATTGTTCAGAAATTTCACGTTATAATTGATTGCGCCTGCCACAGTGTCTCTGTGTGTGTCATGATTGTATGCATTATGTCTGCGTGTCTGCATGTATTATATGTATCATGTCAGTATGTATTATGTGTGTGTGTCCTATATGTGTGTATTATGTCTATGCATTCTGTCTGTATGTGGCTATCTGTATGTATCCGGTCTGTGTTGTCTGTATGTACTATATGGGTGTGTCCTATCTACGTGCATTATATCTATGAATTCTGTCTGTATGTGGCCTATATGTATGTATCCTGTCTGTGTTATGTCTGTGTGCATTTAGTTACTGTGTCCTGTTTAGTTGTGCCTGTCTGTATGTATTATTGTGTGTGTATCTTGTCTATTTGTATCTGCCTGCGTCTTGTTTGCATGTCTCCCTTTGTTTGTATGGATCCTGCCTATGTGTCTAAGTCATATTTCTGCGTGTATTTTAGGTTTCTTGTCTGTAACCTACATGTATTTTACTTGTAGTGTTTTGTACTTGTAATTTGTTTGTATGTATTCATTTCGTCTCTATGTATCCAGTCCCAATTATGTATCCATCCTGTTCGTATCTTGTCCGAATCCTGCATGTATTTTCTTTGTTTTCCTGTTTTGCATATACGTGTGTGTGTGTGTGTGTGTGTGTGAGTGTGTGTGTTTCATTCATTGTTAATTTTCCCCTTCTCTGTTTTTATATGTTTTTTCGTTCTCTGTTTTATACATACGTATGTTTTTTTTTCTTTTCTTTTCTTTTCTTCGCTATCAATATCTTTCTTGCATTTTGGTATTCTTACCATTATCTCTTCATTTGTTTCTCTCAGTATTCTACGTTCATCATTCCTCCGTCTCTTCTGCTTTTCCTTTATTTTTTTCTTATTTCGTTCCATTTTCTTCTCCTCATCTTTATCGTCTCTAATTTTGACTTCCGATTTTTATTAATCTATTTAAATATTTCCTTTCTTCCTCTTCGCCTGTCTGTGCATGCTATTTATCATAATATTTGTTCACCATTTTGTTCAGTTCCCTTGCAATAAGCTGCAATATCCACAAGGTAAAAGTAGGAAGGTATTTTTGAAAACGTAAATTTACACAGGTTGCAACTTCCCGACAAGTGTTTTTGTAAGTGTGTGTGCGTGTGTGTGTGTCTATGTGTGTGTGTGTGTGTGTGTGTGTTTGTGTGTGTGTGTGTGTGTGTGTGTGTGTGTGTGTGTGTGTGTGTGTGTGTGTGTGTGTGTGTGTGTGTGTGTGTGTGTGTGTGTGTGTGTGTGTTTGTGTGTGTGTGTGTGTGTGTGTGTGTGTGTGCGTGTGTGTGTGTGTGTGTGTGTGTGTGTGTGTGTGTGTGTGTGTGTGTGTGTGTGTGTGTGTGTGCATCAAGTAAGTGTGTACACCTATATATACACAAGGAAGAGCAGTTGATCTAACCACCCTTTTTTTCCCTCCTACCCTTCTTCTCCCCTCCTCCTCCTACCTTCCATCCTCCATCCTACTCCCTACCCCCTACCCCCTACCCTCCATCCTCCCCTCCCCCCTATCCTTCCCTTCGACAGCTGCCCTCCTGACGGCTTCGCTCGCAGTGCTGGGCATCACTTCCCTTCCGTCCGTATCCGCGAGACTGACTTGGCGAGAGTTTTCCATCCTGCAGCGTTACTTAGGATGGTTTTCGGTCTTCTCCGTCACCATCCACGCCATTTTCAGTGACTTCAAGCACTTATACAAGGCTGAGTTCGTTTGCGTCTTCCTCCCTCTCGGCACGCAGGTACATAACGATTCCTCGAGTACGGAATCGGACGAGAATGTGTGACTTATTTTCCGAGTGTGATTTATTTTCCGGGTGGGATCCATTTTTCGAGCGTGACTTATTTTCCTGTTGGTGATATTTATGCTCATCAGTAATAATTATAGTGGTGATGATAAGAAGAATGACGATGATAATGATAATGAGAATAATGATGATGATGATAATAGTAATAAGAATGAGAATAATAATTATGATAATAATATTAATAATGATAATGATGATAATAGTAGTAATAATAATGATAATGATAATAATAATAATGATAATAATAATAATGATAATGATAATGATAATAATAATAATAATAACAATAATAGAAATAATAATTATGATGATGATTAACAATATTGCTAATCATGATTTAAATATAAACACAAACACTCATTGTAAACGAAGAAAATTGTATTGATTATAATGATAGTGATGTTAATAATAATAATGATAATAATAATAATGATAATAATAGTAATAATGATAATAATAATAATAATAATAATAACAATAATAATGATAATAATGATAATGATAATCAATAATTAATAAGGATGATAATAATAAAAATAATGACAATGTTAAGAATGATATCATTATTATTGCTATTATCAGTAATAAAAATAATAAAATTTTTCACAGGTGATCGTGGCGATGTGTCTGCTCACCATTCTGATGAAGCTGCCTCTCCTTCTGCCCTGCGTCGATGCCCATCTCGACAAGATCAGGAGGGGGTATGAGAGAGGGAATGGGGGGTCACCTGCTTGATTTTTTTTTTTTTTTTTTTTTTGGGGGGGGGAGAGGGGTGGGTCTGAGGAGAGGGTGAGGGAAAAAGGGAAGTTTTTTTTTTTTTTTTGGAAGGAAGGAGGGAGAGAAGGAGGGAAGGGGGAGGGGGGGAGGGGGAAGGGTTTAAGGAGGGAAGGGGAACTGACTTGATTACTTGATTTTTGGCCACTGGGGTGGAGGGGAGGGGGAAGGGGGAGGGTAGGGAATGGGCGTATCTCCCTGCTTGATTTTTCGAAGAAGAGGAAGGGGAAGGAGGAAGGAAGGGGGAGGGAATGAGAAACAGGTAATATGCACAGAATAAGGAATATCAAAAGAAGTTATAATTTCTTTTTTTGTGACTTTTAATCATTATATCAAGTTAAGAAACTATTTCATAAAAAAGGATAAATGCCTCAAAAATACAAACTTAATTTTTTTAACTACTGATTTGTTTAATCAGTTATATACAGCCTAGGAATACGTGTGTATGAATATCCTTTATGTATATATAAATAAATTAAATAATACACAATATAGATATATATGTGTATACATAGCCCTTGTTCTATATATAAATAAAGAGATATGTGTATAAATATCCCTTGTTCTATATATAAATTAATAAATTTATAGACAGGTATAGAACTTTCCGTCTTTCCGAATTTTGAACGATACCAGAAAACAGAATTATATGAAACACGTGTTTATTTGTTCAAACTTTATTGCATTATTCCATTTAACTTCGATCCCTAATTAAAACTTTATATGCAGCAAGACAGACAATCTCCACGTTGAAAAAAAAAGTATATATATATAATTAAAAGGAGATTATTAACAAATCTTCTTTGCAAATTCAAAAGTTATTTTTGTTTTTTATCTATTACTATTTTTATATATATATTTTTTTAACGGAATATAAATGGTTTTGGTAGAAGTTCACGAGGGATCTTGACCGGAAAATGTTAAGAATGATTATTATGCCTTTGAATTTGCATGCATATTTCTCATTAATTATGCAATTTTGTTTCATTGCAATTTCTCTTAACCCCTTCATTAGCAGTTGATATAAAGGCTATCAGTTAAATGAAGCAAAATCTTGGCTATTGGGGATAATAAAGAATATTGCTTTATATATGTCACGAAGAGACATGTGAAATGTTTAATGTTAATGAGACTTAATTATCACGAGCAGTTTAATTATTCCAATTATAAGTCTACTTGTCTGTTTGTATATTTATTTTGGTTGTTTTTTTTTTTTCAAAATCTATTGTTTACCGTCCTGTTTTTTTAAATAAGGTATGTAACTAAACATGATTTTATACTCAATTCAAAATTATATTAGCTCTCTTTGGTTAGTTAATTTCTGTTATAAAACGTATATCTTTTTCCTGACTCTCTGTTGTGCTTTTTCTAGATCTTGTAAGAATAATTAATTTATGATGAATAAAGTATTAAAGTGTTTTACGATTTCTAAGCTTTCTAAACATGGAATTCTCTCTCTCTCTCTCTCTCTCTCTCTATCTATCTATCTATCTATCTATCTATCTTTCGATCTATCGATCCGTCTATCTATTTATCTTCTCTTGCACTTATTTCTTTCATATATATATGCGTATGTGTGTGTGTGTGCGTGTGTGTATACACACACACACACACACACACACACACACACACACACACACACACACACACACACACACACACATATATATATATATATATATATATATATATATATATATATATATATATATATATATATATATATGTATATATATATATATATATATGTATATATATATATATATATATATATATATATATATATATATATATAT